TCTTTCCCTTGATAATTCCCATTCAAGTTTCTTCCATGTCTTTTTTCATAGCTCAGTAGCTCATTTCTTTTTAGTGCTGAATAATATTCCACTCTCTGGATGTACCACAGTTTATTTATCCCTTCATCTCCTGAAGGACATTTTGGTTGCTTACAAGTTTTGTCCTGGATCTCTTTGTGGGGAGCTAGGGGATACAAGAGGGATTGGGAAGAGAATAGGAATGGGTGGGGAGATAGGAAAGAAGTATCTTCCAGCCAGGCAGAGAGCAGATCACTAGAGGTAAGTTGTAAGGTGGATGTTGCATCTTATTTTTCAAACATAGTCTTAAAAGTCATGCAGCATCACTTATGCCATATTCTATTGGTTATAAGACAATTATAAACACACCCAGATGTAAGTGGAGAATTAATTCTACTTCCTGATGGGGGAAGCAAGTTTCTAGAACAACACTGAACAACACAGTGGCTGCTAGCCACACATGACTGCTTACATTTAAATTAATTACAACTAAAAGTAGAAATTCAGTTCATCATTCACACTAGCCATATTTCAAGTGCTCAATAGCCACATGAGAACTTAAAGTGTTTCCTTCATTACAGAAGGTTCTATTGGACAGCACTGCTCTAGAAGAACAAGTGAAATGGGAGACATTATAGCTATCTTTCAAAGCTACAATCTGCTACTAGCACTTAGACAACCAAATTGTATTTGGGAAGACAGACTAAAATGACACAATGACTGACATACTGTTCTACAGAAGGATTGGCAATAACTTCTGCTGTTTACCTTGAAGCAGAGTGAACTTGTGTTAAGTCTCTCAAATGAAAGAGAGGCTAGATGCATAGTCCCAGGAGCTAAAAATTGGGCCAATAGGATGATATCTTAGAAGGGTGATTTCCAGACGTGTATTATCTATCTTTCTAGTGTCATGGGTTTCTTTAAGCATGCGATGAAAGTCCCCTCTTCCCAGAAAAATATGCATATATACAAAATGATACACTCAAGTTCTGAGTTCCCTTCCAAATCTGTCCATGGACTCTCCAGATCAGAGCCATATTCTAGGCTGTGAGCTCCTGGAGGTATTTTCTTAACCATAATCATGAGTAGTGTGCATGGCCTGGATAACATTCATCATAGTGTATTGACAGAAAGAGGCACATTTCTGCTCAATACAAGTAAGAATTTTAGTAGGCAAATAGGCATTTAAGGGAAATAGGCAAGTCAGGAAATTAGAAAGTTTCCCAGCACTATAAGTGTCCACGTAGATTGCCAATAATACAGAGATTTCAGTGTACAACCAAAACTGAATAGGCTGTGAGGTCTTGCACAATACTGGCGTTCCAAGGGTCTAATAAAAAGTGACAGAAACCAAGTGGAAGAACAGTCACCTACCATTTGGAGGAAGAGGGGAGAATCTAGAAAGGTTTCGTGCAACTGGTGGCATTTCAGATGGGCCCAAAGAGTAGGGATACTGGGTAAGACCACAAGATCATCTTTAGGGGCTCATTTAAGAGATTTAATACCCCTTAATTTAATTACCTCTAGTGATCTGGTTTCTGGCCAACTGGTAAATAGTTCTCTCCCTATCCTATCCTACTAGCCTTGTCTCTCCACTTGTTTTTTGTCTCCCGCCTCCCCTGCCCTAAGAAGAATCCACAGTGAAGCATTCATATCATATGGATTATCCAGGTGGTTTCTACATGCAATGACAAATATCCTTATAAGAAGGAGGCAGAGAGAGATTGAAAACAGAAGAGAAACAAGCCATGAGATGCTATGCAGCTGGTTTTGCAGGTAAAGAAAGGGACCATGAGCCAAGGAATTCAGCTCCAGATGCTGGAAAAGATAAGGAAACAGATTCTCCCCTAGAGTCTCCAGAGGGACTGAGTCTGACATCTAGAACTGTAAGAGAACAAACTTTGCTCTAAACCACCAACTATATGCTAATTTGTTATAGCAGTCAGAAGAAAGTAATGCAGCTGGGGACAGAGCTGATTCAGAACCAACAGAGACTCAGAATCTCTGCTTCCTCCAAAAATTTTTAAGCTTTATTATTTACTTATTTGAGAGGGAGAGAGAGAGATGAGCAGGGAGAGGAGCAAAAGGAAAGGGAAAAGCAGACTCCCTGCTAAGCAGGGAGCCCAACTCTGGGCTCAGTTCTAGGACCTTGAGATCATGACCTGAGCCAAAGGCAGACATGTAACTGACTGAACCACCCAGGCACCCCTGCTTCCTCCAAATTCTAAAGACTTTCTCCTGGATCAAGTTCATTATGTCAGATGTTCATTATGTCTCTTCCCTGAAATTGAGGCTGCTCCTGGAAGCCCTTCAGGCATCATCTTTACTCCCATACTCGGTTCCCTTGACAAATCCACACATCAAATTTAGCAGTGGACAGAGCTTGAACAATACTCAGTGGGCCTCAGGCCCTTTGCAAATACACTTCTGTGAGATCTCTCCTACCAGTTTCAAATATATACAGACACACCCTTACTCCTGTGATGTATTGTCTGAACTCTGAATAACATAAGAAACTCACCTTGAGTCTGAGGCTAGAATTATCCCAACTTATTTATTTATTATCCCAGGCTGGCTGCATTTGTGCATATCAGTGACAGTTATGCTTTCCTCCCCATGAAACTGCCAATTCTTCAAGACTAGGAGACCAAGACCCCCATTTTCTAATATATATTTGGCAGCTAGAGTGTTCCAATCAATGTATGATTCTTGCAATTCCACCGCCATGGGGTTTTGGATACAATAGATGGTTAGTTTGAGCATCATAATTCTTAGTCCCATAAGTTCATTGTTGAGTGTGTTACCATCCAAAATCTTAGAGGACCATAGCTCTTTGTTTTTTCAGGGGGAGCGATTGCCCCCCCCCCAATTCCTGATACACACCGAATCTTGACTTTAAGAGTGAGATTATCCTAGATTTAGACCCAAGTTTTGCTACTGATCAACTATATGCCTTTGGGAAAGTTAACCTCTCTGACTCCATTTCCTCAGTTGCAAAATTCACATTCTACTAGTTGCAAGATTATTGTTAAGTATCAAATGTTGCCTGGCATGGTGCCTGGCATGCAGGAAGTTACAAAAATGATATCCACTTACTCTATGATTTCCTCCCATATAGACCTTTTTAGCTATTGCAGTTCAATTTGCCAACATATAGTATAACACCCAGTGCTCATCCCGTCAAGTGCCCCCTCAGTGCCTGTCACCCAGTCACCCCATCCGCCACCCACCTCCCCTTCCACTACCCCATGTTCATTTCCCAGAGTTAGGAGTCTCTCATGTTCTATCACCCTCACTGATATTTCCCACTCATTTTCTCTCGTTTCCCCTATAATCCCTTTTACTATTTTTTATATTCCCTGTATGAGTAAAACCATATAATGATTGTCCTTCTCCAACTGACTGACTTCACTCAGCATAATACCCTCCAGTTCCATCCACGGTGGGTATTCGTCTTTTCTAATGGCTGAGTAATACTTGTATATATAGACCACATCTTCTTTTTTTAAGATTTTATTTATTTATTCATGAGAGACACAGAGAGGGGGAGGCAGAGACACAGGCAGAGGGAGAAGCAGGCTCCATGCAGGAAGCCGGATGTGGAACTCGATCCCAGGACTCCAGGATCATGTCCTGAGCTGAAGGCAGACAGACCCTTAACCGCTGAGCCACCCAGGCATCCCTATATATACCACATCTTCTTTATCCATTCATCTTTTGATGCACACTGAGGCTCCTTCCACAGTTTGGCTATTGTGGACATTGCTGCTATAAACACTGGGGTGCAGGTGTCCTGCTGTTTCACTGCATCTGTATCTTTGGGGCAAATCCCCAGCAGTGCAATTGCTGGGTCTTAGGGCAGGTCTATTTTTAACTCTTTGAGGAACCTCCACTCAGTTTTCCACAGTGGCTGCACCAGTTCACATTTCCACCAACAGTGTAAGAAGGTTCCCCTTTCTCCACATCCTCTCCAACATTTGTTTTGTTTCCTGTCTTGTTAATTTTCCCATTCTCACTGGTGTGAGGTGGCATCTCATTGTGGTTTTGATTTGTATTTCCCTGATAGCAAGTGATGCAGAGCACTTTCTCATGTGCTTATTGGCCATGTGTATGTCGCCTTTGGTGAAATTTCTGTTCATGTCTTTTGCCCATTTCATGATTGGATTGTTTGTTTCTTGGTTGTTGGGTTTATAGATCTTGGATACTAGCCCTTTATCTGATATGTCATTTGCAAATATCTTCTCCCATTCTGTAGGTGGTCTTTTAGTTTTGCTGACTGTTTCTTTTGCTGTGCAGAAACTTTTAATCTTGATTAAGTCCCAACAGTTCATTTTTCCTTTTTAAAACAGGGAGGGTAAGTGTGTTAATGTTTTTTGGGGGGCACAATTGAAGAAGTGTATCTTTAAAGAGGGAGCTCACCAGCCTTCAACCAGGGCCTAGACTACCTCAAAGGGAGTGAGAGATGTCATAAATGTGCAAGCCCAGATTTTGTTTCTGCATAAAATATTGATATTTTGTTCACCATGAATTTTTTAATTCTGTATTGATTCCAACTTTTATTTATTTATTTTTGATTCCAACTTTTAAAAATACTACTTTAGGTATTATTTATCTTGATAACCTACGTCTTTGGCACCCCTTTCCATTTTGTGCCCAAGGCAATGAAGGCTTGGCTCATTTGGCCCCAGTCCTGCCCTGCCTACAGCACTTGGCGCTAGTCACACCACGATCTAGGTCCTAGATGAGCGCGCAGACAGAAAAGCCTGGAGAAAAGACTTGGGAGCTGCGGGTGACTGCGCGGGGTGGGGGGGACTTGCGAAGCCCTGGAACGCACACCCGGGCCAGGCGAGGAGCCGGAGTGGACTACAACTCCCAGAAGGCCAGGCGGCGCGGCGCCCTCCCCGGATTGGCTGCGCGGGCCCCGCCCCCGCCCCGCCCCGCCCCGCCCCGCCCCGCCCCCGCCGCGAGGACCCGGGGCGGCGAGCCCAGGGCTAGTGCGCTCCCGAAGCCCTGGCAGCCGGGTGCAATCTCGCCCGGCCAGCAGGCTTCATGGCGGCGAGGCCGGTGTCCCGGATGCTGCAGCGGGTGCTGAGGTCCAGCGTCCGGAGGTGCAGCTCGGGCGCTCCAGTGACGCAGCACCGCCCGGGGGAGCCCTCCCGAACTGCTGCGGAGGTGAGCCCGCCCACATCCATGCACACCTTCCCGGGGAAGGAGCGGCCCGGCCAGCTGTCCCTCACGCCTGGAAGCACCCAGGCCGGGCCGCCGCCGCCGCCTCGGGGAGGGACCCCTCCGCCCTTCCCCTGTGGGTCGGGAGAGCAGTGGAGGGATGCTCCCCAGGCTGCCCGGTCTCACCTGATACCCCAAGCGGCGGGCGCTCCTTGGGGTGCTGCATAACCAGCCACCTCCCTGCCCAGCCCCATGCTACGCCTTCCACGCACGCCTGGGTGACCGCCAGGGACAGGGCAGCAGGCAGGGAGGACTCTGGTCCAGAGTTGACTGTGCCCTTCTCAGCCCCGTCTCACTCACCCTCTGTTTGGTACATTTACCTCCCTCCCCCCCCCCCCCCTCGCTCCAGTGGACGGGTCTGTGTGTGATCAGGTGTTCTTGTGACATCCTGGTCAAAAATGTCACCTTGGTGCCACCGGTAGGCAGTGGTCACGTCTGTAGTTATAGGGCTCTGTGACTTCTTCACTGACTTTTAGTTTCATCTTCCTGTCCCTTCGGAGGGCTCAGCCTCATTCCCCAGCAGAAGGGAGCAGGAGCTCCTTTCAGGCTAGGAATCCTATTGTTCCTTAAGGTTTGGGATAGGCCCCGTCAGTCCTTGACAGCACTGGCAGAGTGACTCATATCATCACAAGTTTTAAGTTTGGTGTTCTTTTGCCCATGTGGTCAGGGAATAACTTTGGGAGAAGTGTTTCTTTTTCATTTGGTGAAACCTCTTTTCTAGACTCATCTGGTCATTTCCCCACCTCCCCACCCCCCATTTCTTAGCACAAAGCTTCATGCCCTGGGAATCATCAGATCATGCCCTCCCTCTGCCCTCCAGCACCACCGCCACTATTGCTCAATGGCAGGGAGGGCCTTAGCCTGACTTGCTTTGCCCGGGTCTGATCCCCTCTGGAATCTTCAGATAATCAGGCCTCATTGCTGGGAAGTTTTTCAGTATCCTTGAACTCCAAACTTCACTGGGGGGAACAATAAGACAGCAAGGATTGCCGAGAGAGCTTTAAAGAATTCAGGAGAAGGGGAGTTCCTTCTCCCTGCTGTCCCTAATTTCCTTTGTGCCTTTCAGGAGAGGGCCTGGGCTAAGTGACTTCATACTTGGTCTCTTTTAGTCCTCACGGGAAACCCCGTAAGGTCAGGAATTTGTATTTTTAGGTGAGGGGGCTCAACCCAAGTGAACTTCCCTGGAGGATAGGTTGAGCAGCTTCTACAGAGCTGAAAAGAAGGGAGCAGGAACTCACTCAGACTCTAGCACCTGTACTCCTGCTTTGTCCTTGTGGGGAGAGTAGGGTGAGAGGCTGTCCCACACTTTCCTTTACCCTGTAAAGAGGGGTGTAATGAGCAGGTAAGAACACAGACTCTGGAGCAAAATGTGAGCTTTGGAAGCCCAGCTCTGGAAGCCCCTACCTTTTAGTAGGTATGTGAACCTCAGCATGTCCCTATGCCTCCTAGTGCCTCAGTCTTCTCATCTGTAAAATGGGAGTAAGTATCTACTTCATGGGGGTGGTTATAGAGATTACAAGAGTTAGTATATGCTTAAGATATGTACTTAGAACAAAGGCTGACGGCACATGTAAGTGCTGCATTAGGTACATGTTTGTTGTAATTGTTGTCAGCCTTGCCACCATTGGCACATGCTGTGTCCCTTTAGTCCCCATGCACTGGACACAGGGTAGCCATTCTGTCAACTATTTGGTCATAGTCTTTCTATGCTGGACATTCCCCACTAGGGTTATCCTCAGCAGGGATGTTTCCTGCCCCTCAAGTGCTGAGTGCTCCCTTACCTTTCTAGACATTTCTGCATGGTGCTTAACATGGTGCTCTGCAAGGAGTGGAGTCAGCAGATATTTTTGGTTGTTTGAAAGTCAACTAGTGAGGGGGGGCACATGGAATAGAATATTAGACAGGGAGCCCCAGGTTTTCACCCTCACTCTGTCTCCAATTTCACTTTGCTCCTGGGCTGTCACTTCTCTTCTCCTCATGTCTTTAAAACCAGAGGGTTGGGCGAGCCCATCTTTACACCACGAGTGGGAGTGGAAGGCACAGAATGTCTTTAAGAAAACCTCCAAGGCGAGGCAAGTCGGGAGATCTATATGGTCAGCCTATTCACAGAACTTTCCAGTTGGCAATAGTAGTAGTAGGGCATGGGGAATCCTGTCCCCGCTTCCCTTCCTGCGGGCACTTTTCTCTACACCTTGGGGGGTGCTTAGAGAGACTGAGGGAAAAGCCACTGAGTGTTACCTGTTTGTGTGCCAGGATGTGGGTGTGAGAGAGATGTACAAGTGTGGAATGGGAGCTGGTGGTGAGGACAGTGGAAAGTGGGCCTTGGGCTTGGTCTGTGTAGCTTCTACAGGTATAAGGGGAGGTGGTGGAGTGTGGGTTAAGTGGGGAGGTGGGTAGGGGAGACACATCTACCTGCTATCCAGATTGGGGGTGGCCCACACAACCTCTGCAGGGCTTACTGTAGCTCAGCATGACACCTGTGTTCTTCCCAGGCTCCACGCAGGCTTTGTTGGGACCACAGGGGCTAGCCTCCAGTCCTAGGCCTGCTGCCTTAGGGCAGGGCAGGGGCAAGGGATCTCCCTAGGCAGACTTTTTGCAGGGCAAAGCCACCTGGTGTTCAGAGGGTCAAAATGAATAACTATTGGCAAGGGGGTGTTATGCAGAAAGGAAGTGGGTGTAAGAGAAGGTAGGAGGGGACAGCAGGTCCCAGCCTAGGGTAATGATGCACGAAGGAAAAGAGGAACTTTCAGGGGGTTATCTTGAGTTCCAATCTTTCCTTCAAAATCCTCGCTCTGGTGAAGTGCAACTGTCCGTGCCAGGAGCCATACGTGTAAAGACCCCACACTTAGAGAAGGTTGGAGGGAGAGAAAGGATCCAGACCTTGGGCAGTGTGCTTTGCCGTGTCTTCTTGTTTAATAGAGATTAATTTTGAGGCACCTCTGGTATATGTCACCCCAAATAGCAAGGATCCCAAATCAGAGCCAGTGATATTGGAGTTTGGAATGTGTTCTTCTTCTCCTGAATAACTCTGTTTATTATACTCTAGAGCTACTTGGGGGCTGGCCTTTATCCTTCCAGTGCCCAAAGTTAGTGACTACTTTGTGGGTGGCATTCCTCCCTTAACTAATTCCTTGGCACTCCCCTTCCCCACCCCATTGTACCCCAATCTCCCCTGGGCAGGTAGACAAGATACATCCAGTAGCAGATGGCAGGCTGCCTAGTGCCTGGTCATCTGCACTTGTGTCCATGGTCCTGGAGGAGTTCAGACACCACTTGCCCTGCTTTGGGAGCTGTGATAGCAAGTCTGAAACCCCAGCCTTGGCCTGCCTGCCATCAAGTAGACCTGGGCCTTGTGAGACTGACTGGGGGACCTGGCAAGAGCGGGAAAACCAGCTACTGCACACACAGTGCTCCTCGAATATGTGTCTAATAAATCAATATAGTAAGTAGAAGTTATATTCAGAAAAGGGTAACGATCATTTATTGAATACCTGCTATGTGCCAGGAACTCCTTCAGCCTAGTTAGGTAGGATTATTCTCCACCCTTTATGGATGAAGAAACGAAGGCTTAAAAAATTGGGGTGATTTGCTCTACAGCTAGTTAGTAATAAACCCGGGTTTGTAATTCAGGTTTACTGACTCCTAGAGCCTGTGCTCTGAACTGCAACAATTACCCCCAGATTAAAATAGCTCCTGATCCTGGTGTTGCTGGGCCAGTGGTTTTCAGCCAAGCCACAAAGTGAAGAACTGAGACAACAACAACCAAAAAAGCCAGGGCCCCATCCTGGGGCAATTGAGTCAGAATCTTTGGAGTGGGGCTCGGGCAGCAGCGCTTCTTGGATGCACTGCTGGTAGTTTTGATGTGCAAACAGCTGAGAGCCACTGTATTAGGTGAGACCAGCCTGGAGATGAATGATGACCCCAGTGTGACTGGCTTTGCACACACCACTTTTCTCTTCTGATGAAGGACCAGCCTCTTCGTTCATTGATCCAGTGACACACCATGTAGATGTCAGGATACTGAAGCAGGCAGAGGGCTTCCCACACCAGGGCAACAGCCGGTCCAGGCTGGGCTCTGTGGATATAAGCAGCTAAGGGCTTTCTGCTGCTTCTGACATGTCCCAGCCCTTCCTGGGTGAAGGACATCGCTGTCTACTCTGCCCGGTAATGCCTTCTGGGTCCAGGGCTCCTCTGGCACTGCTATTTTTTCCTCCAGGTATTCTAAAGGAAAGGGAAAGATGGAAGAATGAAAGTAGGACATGCAGTGTTGGAGGAGAGAAGAGGCAGAGATGAAACTTGTGAATGTCACAGTGATGAGTTTGTGAGGCTGGCTGGGTGAGAGACTGTGTGTGTGTGTGTGTGTGTGTGTGTGTGGTTGCTTCTGGCAGTACAGAGTGGGAATGAATCTAGATAAAGTCACTCTAGGTCTCAGCAGTAAAATCCAGCCTGCCCCTCCGAGGGCCACAGCAGAGTGCCTGATTCCATTTCCTGTGCCCTATTGCTCCGCTGGCTCCCTTGTTTCTGCCAAGTCATGCTCCCTGGTCCTCTCACTTGCTCCCAGTTGGTGCCCTTTGACTCCTCCCTCACCCAGCCACCAACCTCCAGTATTAGGAAGGGCCACTAGTGAGAGGGTGCGGCCTGGGGCCACTAATGCATTTCTAAATCCTAAGACTTTGATGAGGAATTGGGTGCAACTCGGCCAGAAATGCAGACTTCCAGGGATCTGATCTTTTGGACTGTGGTCTTGACTCTGTAGTATCCCCTGCCTGACCCCCAAGGCTACTGGTGGAAAGGCAGTGGAGTGAGGAGGGAGGTGGGACTGTTAGGATTCTAGTAGGCAGCAGTTCAGAGAAGCGAGCGCTGCTTGCTTGTCATGGGACTTGGAGGACACTGGTCTTGGGGTGAGCAGAGTGAGGTCACTTTTAGGCACCCAGGAAAATCTTGGAAGCACCCCCACATACTTTCACTCCTGTCTCTTCTATCTCCTGAGTCCGTGGTCATTGACCCTGGCTGTACTTTAGAATCCACTAGAGAGACTAGAAACGCAAGTGCTCAGAGATCCAAATTCGGTTGCTCTCGAGGGAAGTTTTTCCTGAAGCTGCCAGGTGCAGCCAGTGCTGAGAAGGTCATTGAAGTAATGTTCCTTCCAGGTGCAGTTACCCTGGGCCTCCAGGGGGCCTGAGGCCTTCTGCTCTCTTAGGTTACAAGATCATGATAACCCTGAGTGCTGACCTTCTAGCTTCCTGACCCCCTTCCCTTCTCTTACCCAAGCCCATCGCTAGGTCCTTATTTTATAACTGGGAAAACAGGCCTGGAGAAGTGAGGGTGCTTTCTCAAGGTGTTGGGACACACCTGGCCCAGAAACCAGTCCAGAGCCCCTGGCCACAGACCCCATGAACAATCTCATGATCAACTTCATGATTCCTTTGTGATAAAGATTCTAAGAAAGGAAATCTCCCCACCCTATGCTCCATCCCACGTACCTTCTTGGACTCACCCTTTGCAATTGGAGGAATATAGAGCTTGGACTCAGAAGACCTGGATTTGAAGCTTGGTTTGGCCTGTGGGGTTCTTGAACCCCATCCAAGCTTCAGTTACAGTAATCCCTTATGGGGTAGGTGTGGGAATTGAACAGAGAGCATTCTTTGGAAGCTTAAAGATGTTTTGTAAATGTTCCTTCCATGGAGCAACTATGTCATCAGCGTCCATTGTGACAGGAAGTTGGACTAGATCAGACTTGGGAAAACACTGAGGTTGGCTGCCTTCTGTCTCTCCCCAGGAGGAGTTTGGGCCTTGCAGGGAGCCTCCAGCAATCTCCTCCCTCTTAGGCTTTAGACAGTGGGTGTGTATAATCCTTCCTTCCAGCAATGGGTGGGGTGAAAGATGAAGACCAATCTCTGTATGGGTTTAGTGGGTGATCCTGCGGGCCTCCTCATACTACCTTCCTAGAGGCTGCTGGCCTCATTCCTTCTGCAAGGCTGTCCCTGCCTCAGAAGACTTCCACATGAGGGGAGCCTTCCCCGTGAGTGTACCCTCCCTCCCCCAGCTGGGTGTAGTCCTCAGCTGTTCCCAGTGGCTTAGCTTATTAGGTCTTCCTGGGCAGTGCTGAGGCCCTAGGGAGCCCAGCTGACCACAAGAGTAGGTATGTGGAGGCAGCTGATAGGACACTCACCCCGCAGAGTTAGTGAGTCTGCTTTGAGCTGCTTCCGTCTCCCATTGCAAAGGTAGGGAATGTGAGGTCTGGGTTGGAGAAGTGGCTCACTGTGTCCCAGGTGGCCACCATCAGTGACCGTCTTCCCCTCTCCTCTGTTCTGGACACACTTGCCAGTTGGCATAGTGGCCAGGTGCTGAGTGGCACATTCTCTCCCACTGACCCATCCAAGAAATACTGGAAATGTTTGCTCCTGGACAGCCTTCCTTTGAAGGAGGAGGGTGGGCAGTAGGATGGTGACAGGGAGAGAAAGGGGGCTGGGCGGGGCAGCTTTGTCCCCATAGGGGTCCTGCCCCCTTGGGGCTCCCTGTGGGCAAGGTCCTTCCCTGTGGGAGAATCCCTGTTCCCCCAGGACTGTAGAGCCCACATGGATGTCCAAGATGACGCCAGGGGAGGGGATGTCCTATGGGAGGGGACTTATGTCCCTGGGGTGGGCTCTCCATGCCCCTCTCCCCCCAGCCCAGGCACAGAGGCCCACGTTTCCTCTGCCCCACGTTGCAGGAGCTGTCCAGGCGGAGACAGTTCCTGAGGGAGCACGCGGTCCCCTTCTCTGCCTTCCTCACTGACAGCTTCGGCCGGCAACACAGCTACCTGCGAATCTCCCTCACCGAGAAGTGCAATCTCAGATGTGAGTCACCTTCCTGGGCCCCTGTCCCCGCTGCTGAGGCAGCCTCTGAAATCTCCCTGCGCCCAGGAATCCTCCTGAACCCACCCCATTCCTCTTACCAGCAGTGTCTCTGCCCTCCCTTCTTCCCTGCTTGCCAGCTGGGGTTGCTGATCCTGGATCGGCAACTGAATCTTTACGATCCTGGGAGCTGAGTTCTGCTCAGAACTAGTTTTGAGAACAGCATTATAATCGAGATTGGACCTAAATCTCACGATTCAGGGCTCTTTCTCCCTCTGTCCTGTTTCACATGATTCCCAGAGTTCAGGACGTGGCCAGGGGCTGGTTTGGGGGTGCTGGACACTGTAAACATATGAGGTACACAGCGGTGCCCATGGCCGGCACTGCCACTATGAAGACATCCCAGTCCTGTGACAGAAGTTGCCTGGGGCCAGGCTAGTACACAGCATATTCGTTTCATAATCATTTATGGAGTGTGCCAGAGGTGTAGCCACTGCTGGAGGGAATTTCAAAGTTTGTCTCTTTCCCTCTCTCCTGCTTTCCATGGTAGTGCCCAATAAGAAATATATTTACTTCATGGCCCAATAAATACACGTGTATATAGTAAATGTTTAATCAAACAGTGCTTGCAGCATGCAGTTCTGATGTTCTGATATTCTTTACCTGTTCTATTCTATCTTAAAAGACCAATCCTGGATCCTTCACTAATTTTGACTAAATGGCTCCATACCAGATCTTGACCCAGTCCTTGATAAAACTCCCATAGGAGCTGATGGTAGGGGATGGTACCCCCCACCCTCCAGGCTCCCCTCATTTGACCCATTCTGCTACCTCACCCTGAACAAGTAGTTCCTCAGTTTTCCAACCTGCGAAATGGGACTGATAACCTGAAATGGATAGGCTGGACATGAGAGCTCTTGTCACTACAGAGATAACGATTTGCCAAACCAGATGAAATGAGAGGTGGCCAGTGCCAGAAGGAAAGGGCCCAGGGCCTAGGCCTGCCAGACAGATCCTGCCTAGCTAGCTGCCCCACGTGCTGAGGGAATCAGCCTCTTGGCATCCCCCACCCACGTAAGGCTGCCTCTGCTCTCCCCCTGTTCCATCCTCTTTATCTTTATTTGTTTTAAGATTTTATTTATTTATTCATGAAAGAGACAGAGAGAGAGAGAGGCAGAGACACAGGCAGAGGGAGAAGCAGGCTCTATGCAAGGAGCCTGATGTGGGACTCGATCCGGGGACTCCAGGATCATGCCCTGGGCCGAAGGCAGCTGCTAAACCGCTGAGCCACCCAGAGATTCCCAAATCCACCCTCTTTAACCCGTTCCCTTGGCCTCCTCTCTGAGGGAAGGGGCAGTGTTGGCAGGTCATAGATGACAAAGGTGGGGCCCCGAGAGAGTCACTAGGGTTTGTGCCAGCTCAGATTTGGCGAGGCCATTCCTCATCATCCAGGTGGGGTTCAAGAGAGACTTCTGGCCTGGTGGAGGAATGGGGGTCTGTTGGCCCCATGGGCCCAAGTGCTGTGGTCGTGGCCTACCTCTGCATCCCCTCCCTTCCCCTCAGGTCAGTACTGCATGCCTGAGGAGGGTGTCCCACTGACCCCCAAGGCCGACCTGCTGACCACAGAGGAGATCCTGACACTTGCACGGCTCTTTGTGAAGGAAGGTGTAGACAAGATCCGGCTCACAGGGGGAGAGCCGCTCATCCGGCCAGACGTGGTGGACATTGTGGGTGAGTTTGACAAAAGCTGTGGCCACTTCTACTAACTCCTGCTGCATCCAGCTGGACTGCAGTATTCATATCGGCAGCTGACATCCATTCAGAACATAATGCTCACTTAGCCCTACCAGCCTCTGAGACAGCTACCATTATTATTCCTATCTTGTTAGGACATGAGGCTCAGAAGTTCAGTAACTTACTCAAAGTTGCAAAGCTGCTAAATGCAAGCCAGTGGGTTGCTGGGCTAAAGCCTCACCAGGGCCTTCAGGTTTATGTGGTCTGACTCTTGCTGACCTCTGAGACCTCTTGCCTGTCCCTCTGAATCCATCCCACCCCTCCACACACACCACCAGGCCTTTGGACTTGCTCTTCCCTTTGCTGGGAACACAGTGCACACTGCTGGCCTTGTTTGGGACTCTGCACACATGTCATCTCCCTGGGGAGGCCTCCTTGCCCACTCTCTCCAAAGTACATCCCCACGTACACACCTCAACTACTCTCTGCCCCAGAAGTTGGCAAGCAAGAGCCCACAGGCCTAATCTGGGTCACCACCTGTTTTTGTATGACCCGTAGGCTAAGAACGGTTTTTATATTGCTAAGCAGTTAAAAGAAAAAAATCAAAAGAAAATAGCATTTTGTGACACATGAAATCATAAATTCATTGTTAATAAAGTTTTATTGGAACATAGCTGCAAATCCGCTCATTTACATATTTCCCAGGGCTGCTTGCAGAGTTGAATAGTTGCTACAAAGACCATGTGGCCGGCAAAGCCAAAAATTGTTACTATCTGGCCTTTTGTAGAAAAAAATATGGCAACCCCCACTTACTCTATCTCCTTCTCCTACCTTATTTTTTCTTCATAGCATTTGTCTCATCAGAGGTTATGTTACTTGGTTGTATGTTTATATTTCCTTTGTATTGTCTCCTCCCATTAACTGGCGTGAAAGCTCTTGGAGCTGAGGCCACTTTGGTTCCCAGCTGTGTTCCCAGCATGTAGGCACATGCCTGACGCGTAGCTGGCGCTCGGTGATACTTGTTGGTTTGCAGTATGATCTCTGAGGTAGGACATTCCTGCACGTGAATGTCGGCTGTGCCTCTTACTAGCAGCAACCTTTGGGCAACCTTTTTTTTTTTTTTCTTTAAGATCTTTATTTCAGAGTGAGCGAGTGAGAGAGTGTGAGCATGAGCACAGGCAGGGCTGGTGGGGAGGGGCAGAAGCAGAGGGAGAAGCAGATTCTATCCCAGGACCCTGAGATAAAGACCTGGGTCACCCAGGCCCCCCCTGGGCAACTTTTACATTCATTCTAAGCCTCCAGTCAGAGATGAAGTGGACCTCCCACAGGAAATGAGCAGGAAACGCCCAGCACATGGGGAAACTCTGTAAGGGCTCAGCGTTGCTTCTAAGCCCCAAGGTCAGGCAGAGAAAGATCTTTGCTTCTATAGCTATAGATGATGAAATCAGAGGAAAATAAGGCTCTGTGTTCTTAGTTCTGAACCCCACCCCTGCTGCTCTGGTGGGCTCTCCCAGGCCTCTGTTTTGATTCAGTGAATGTTCTCTGGAGGCTCCTTATGTGTCTGATCCTGTGCTGGGGGGCACAAAGGTGAATGAGCTGCAGGCCTTGGCATTGAGGATCCACAGCCCATTGGTAGAAGCAGCTGCCAGAGCCAGCTGTCTGCTAAGAACCATGGAAGCCCAGAGGAGGTGCCCCTGACAGTCTTTTCTTTCCTCCTTCCACAAGGCCAGCTGACTCCAGCCACCACTGGTCACGTGACCTGGGATCCTGCCCTCATTCCTGTGCTGGAGGAACTGGCCTAGGGTTGCTCACCGCCTGTTCCAGGTGGCTCTTCAGAGCTGAAACCAGACTGGGTTCCAGGAAAGAGCTGAACCTGCTGAGCCTGGCTGACTGCCAGGCCCAGCCCCCTCATTCAGGCCATATCATCTGCCCTCTGGCATGGGTTCCATCTTCAACCTCTGTGCTCTGTGCAGGGTCTGTGGGGGAGCAGAGGGATGGGGATCACCACTAGTCTAAGAGGGATGACTGAGAACAGTCATAAGGACACTGGTTTTTCCATGGAAACCAGGAAAGTTGACAGCCCTGTTCCCACTCTGCCACTGCCCAGCCCTGTGAACTTGGGCAGACTCATTCCCCACTCTGAGCCTCAGTATCCTCGTCTGTGCACTGGCCACTTCACAGGCCTTCCCTGCTATGATGGCCCATGGCTCTTGGTCCTAGCCAATAGCATGGGGTGAACAAGGGTTGGTCAGCACATAGATGTTAGATAGGACAAGGCCCCGACTGCAGTGACCTGCTCAGGAGGATTTACCTCCCACCCCCAAGGGTGTGGGTTGACTAAGAAAGACAGCTGTGCCCTTCCCCCCAGTGCTCCAAAAGAATGACAGCTGCTAGGCTGTGGGTTGCTGTGGTGCTGCGCTTGCTAACACCTTGGCATCTCTCAGCCAAGCTCCTTTGATCTTCCCCAGAGGCAGTGCCTCAGAGCAAAGCTGCCCAGAAGGGCACAGCAGATGGGTACTCGTGGAGGAGCGGGGCTGAGGGGAGGTGTGGTGAGGGCTTAGCGGTCAGAGCTGGATTGCTCACCAACACTTGTCCCCACCCCCCAGGTGCGAATATGGAGGGACCCCACCCAGAGGTGCAGAGTGAAGGGATCCCAGGTTTGTCCGAGCCTGCTGTCCTGATCACTTCAGACCCCGCCCGATGCACAGGCAGTCTTGGGCCTGATGCTGCAGAGCTCCCCGCTGGAAGCCCACGCAGCCCGCTCTGGCTCCCTGTCTGTAATTACTGTGATCCCCCTGTGCCAACCCAGACTCCGAAGCGCTTCTCCCACCTGGCTTGGCATGGGAACAAGCTCCCCCACCCCTTCTTTTTCAGCTAAGCCGTCTGAAGCAGGACTGCCCAACAGAACTTTTCCGGCTGGTGGAAATGTTCTCTATCTGTGTTGTGTGATGCGCTAGTGAGGACTCACGCATAGCCCTGGGGACTTGGCATGTGGCTGGTGTAACCCAGGCACTGAACTGGTAACTTTATTACATCGTAATTAATTGAAGTAGCCCCACATGACCAACGGTTGTCATGGCCGATGGTGAAGGTTTGAGCTGTTTGTATTTATCATTCCCTATCTCATTTTTAAAAAATGAAAGACAGCATTTTGGAACTTTATGAGGATCATGCTGTGTGTCTTTCAGGGCTTGCTCTTTTGACGCAATGGAAATTTGTACACGTCATTCCGAGTTGCAACCCGTTCCTTTTCTCTGCTGTCCCATTCTGTATATGTAGCACACTCTATCATGTTAGTGAGCGAGCGTTTGGGCTGCTTCCAGTGTTTGGATGTTATAAACAGTGCTACTTGGAACATTTTTATTTTCGTTCATGTGTCCTAGAGTGCCCTTCCTGTAGGAGTGGAATTGCTGCCTGGTATAATAGGTGAATGTTTAACTTTGGAAAACAATTTGGTGTTATCTACGGAGCCCTGTGCCACTTTCCTCTGAGCCACATCCTCCTCGGTGCTCAGTATTCTTATTCTGGATTTTTGCCAGCTGAACGAGGATGAAATGGTATTCTGTTTGGTCTTTATTTGTATTTCCCTATTTGGGAATGAGGTCAAGCATCTCTCAACATGTTTATCAGCCCAAAATATCTTTTTTTTTTCCTCCTGTGTCATACCACCTCATGTCTTTTGCCCCCATTTCTATTCTTTCTGTTTTGTTCTTTCAGATTGGTTTGGAAACAGTTCTTTACTTATGTTGCAAATGTCTTTTCCCAGTTTGAAAAAAATGAGTGACACTGTGTATAACAATTCTTTTGATCAGTAGCAGTTCTTAAATGGATCAGTTTTATCCTTTATGGTCAGTGCTTTTTATGTCTTTCTACTGAAACACCTCACCCAAGGTCAGAACAACTCCCTCTGTTTCCGCTAAAACAGTTAAAATTTTGCCTTTTGCATTTAAGTCCTGAGTGCATCTGTAGCTGATTTTGGGGAATCCAGTTTCATTTTTTCCCCATGTGATAGTCATTTTCTCTAGTTCCTCCTTTTGGAAGCCTCTGCTTCCTCTATAAATCTACCATGTGTGCATTTATGTGATGGGTGCTGTTCTATCTCAATAGGTTAGCTTGTCTATCTCAATGCCAATATCATACAGCCTTAATCACTGTAGCATCACGGTAAGGCCACTATCTGGTTGAGCAAGTTCTTTATATTCTTGAGCAGTGCTTTAGCTATGCTTTGTCCGTGGAAATTTTAGTACTTGGCAAGTTCCATGAAAAATTTTGTTGGGATTTGTGTGTGTGTGTGTGTGTGTGTGTGTGTTAAAATACATGCAACATAAAATTTACCATCTTAACCATTTTTTCTTTTCTTTTTTTTTTAGAGAGTGTGTGTGCACATGCATGCATGAGCAGTCAGGGAGGGGTAGAGGGAAAGGGAGAGAGAGAATCTTAAGCAGGCTCCACACTCAGTATGGAGCCCATTGTGGGGCTGACTCTCACAACCTGAGTCAAAATCAAGAGTCAGATGCTTAACTGACTGAGCCATTCAGGTTCCCCCATCTTAACCAGTTTTTTTTTTAAGATTTTATTTATTTACTCATGAGAGACACACAGAGAGAGGTAGAGACATAGGCAGAGGACTGTGTCCCAGGACTCAATCCCAGGACCCCAGGATCATGACTTGAGCCAAAGGCAGATGCTCAACTACTGAGCTACCCAAGTGCCCCCATCTTAACCATTTTTAATTAAACAGTTCAGTAGTATTAAGTACATTCACACTGTTGTGCACCATCCCCACCATCCACATCCATAACTCCTTTCATCTTGTGAATCTGAAACTCTGTACCCACTAAAAAATAACTCCTTATTCTCTACTCTCCTCAGCCCTTGGCAACCACCATTATACTTTGTCGTTATGATTTGGGTTACCTAAGAATTTCATAGAAGTGGAATCATGGAATATTTGTCTTTGTGGGTCTGGCTTACTTCATTTAGTATAATGTCCTGAA